TCTTCTTTGTCTTGTTCTTGAATCTGTTGATATTTTTCCTCTTTACCTTCTTGAAGAATTATGTTGAATTCTCCCTTGCCTCTTGAACCGTTCTCTTCCTAGAATTAGATCTTAAGGGTTATATTTATAGTCTTTTGAAGTTTTGAAAGGGTTGAAGTCGTGTTGAGCCAAGAAAAGAGTCCCAAAAAAAAAATCAAAACCCTTTTTCTGGCCCAGCAGTGCCTCGTCGCCACAATCGTGGCGCTGCGGCTCCCAATTTCGGATGGAAATTCAGCACTACGCGTCCTTCAATATTTTTACCATAACTTTTTCTGTCGATGTCCGATTGAGACGATTCAAGATGCGTTGGAAACATAACTCAAAAGGCTACAACTTTACTTCAGATATCATTTTTCAATTCGAACGTTTTCTATGTCAAAAATGAGTCCCAATATGAGACTGAAAATTCGGAGCATAACTTTTTCGGTTGGAAATTGATGTACGATCATACTTTGCCTATATTTCATCAATTTGACTTCTTTTTTCATCCAATTAACTCCTAGCACTCTCGAATCTTCATTGTGAAGTCCGACACAACTTTTGAGTATTTGCACTTTAGTCCCCGAACTTTGGATCTCTTACAATTTAGCCATCTTCTCCAATTTTGCCAACTTTTGCTTATTTCCTTCAATTTAAACAACATATATCACAACATCAAAATACACAATAAAACGCTCTAAAACTTGTAGAAATTAGTTAAATATCAAATTTAGATGATATCTAAAGTATGAGTGAAATACACTCATCACACTTCAATATAGATAATCAGTGAGGTTTTGTCCTATTGTATATAGTGATGTCACGTGACAATTTTTTTTAACAAATATATAAACTTTGCTTCCCTACCTCTAGATTGCTCGGTTATGAAGGTGTGGAAGTTATAAATCCGGAAGGAGGTAAAGACGATGCTGAAGAGGAAGCTCAGAGAGGAAGATGGAAGCAGGAGGTATGTTATATTGCTATCATGTACCTTTTTTTGACAAAGTTTTTTCTTCAAAATAATGCCATACTTCTATTGAGATATAGAAAGGGAAGTGTTTATGATTGAAATTCAGTTATAGAACATATTGAAAAGGTAAGGCAGCTCAGAACTTAGGTTTCTTAGATAAATTGGAAAAGATTAATATATTATTATAATGATATTCACATTTTTGTGGTGGTTAAGTTTTCTGAGTGTTGATAAATAATGCCTCTCTGAAAAATTTGGTTGAAGTTTTAGTTTGTCTTGTTTAGTATACATGAAATACAAAAGTGATAATAGCATCAATTGGAGTCTTCTTGGTCCTCGACCAGTAATTGTGGATTCAAGGGTGCTAGAAAATGTAGATTGATTTTTTGTTGACAAGTTCGGGAATGACACATTTGCTGGACAATAATATCCCTAAAAGTATTCAGTCTATAAAATGGAGTGTCCCTGTGAAATGTATGGATAAAGCTGGAAAAATACATAGATATCTGGAACTAGACCAGTTATGTTGCAATGAAATAATATGAATTCATATAGCATAGAAAGCACTTCTTAGGTCAGGTGAGGAGGGAACAGAAAGGAAAAGAGAACTGTCATGTTGAAAACATTCTTTCTTGTCCTCACTGTACTCTTACCATGCCACGCTTTTCCTTCTGGCTGGAATTCAAGTGGATTACACTAACATTATATTAGCTTCATATTG